AATTTATTTATTCACGAGATTTTTTTACTGTCTATTTATATAATTTATATTAAAATGCATGAAGCAATTTATGAAGAAACGTGTTAAAGGAGCAATATATTAAATAATATATGACTTATTTAACATTTAGATTAAAGTATAAACATAAAAAACAATTAATATATGAGGAAGAAAATATATGAGAAGCAATATCAGCGCAAGATAAAAATTAGCTTTCGAAACTGCTTTATTTAAAAATTCTCAAATAGTAAAATTTCATAATATATGGGTATTAAAAGACAGATTTCTCCTCTATTGAAATAAATTAACACTCGATGCCGAAACTATTAGGTACACAAGGCAAGCTCGTTAGGTATCGACGTAAGGGAGATTAAGGAGCTCAAGGGTGCGATTAAACGATCCGTTCTCCGAGGTCGCGTGGCGTGACGGCGGAGCCAACGTCATCATCTCCACCGATATTCTTTTTGATCTGTCAAGGACGAGAGTCGTTGTCTAGACGAATCGACGGCTAAGCAGCGCTCTTCAAACGCGGTGGGATGCATTAAATGCCGAAGCATTTGATGTCAAAAGAGCCGGTAGAAGGGCACGGGCGCAGGTACATAACGGGGTAGAGTAGTATACCATGGAGGAGAAGACTCGATGACGATGGCGGACATTCGTGGAAAGGATTAAAACGCGGGATCAAAGCGAGATAAGCAGCTCCTGTCGTCGGCAGAAATTCTGCGGAACGCGATCGATCGTAACGCGAAAATCGCAGTAGAACCCACTTCAGTCGCTCTCTCCCTTGCCGTTCTTTCCCTTTCTCTCTCTCTTTCTCTCTCTCATGGTTTCCTTTATGAATGGGAATTTCTCGTCCGCTCGCTTCAGGAATAACGTACACTCAGAGAAAACAAAATAGCTTCGACAACTACAATATGACAACTCTAAAATTTAAGTACCTCTCAACTAGTTTTATAAAGGGGAATCATGGGAACAATAAGTAAGTTACTGAGAACTGTTAGAATGCAGTTACAGCGACAAATGTGCTGTCTGGTGTTAATATTATTTAATTAGTTGCACGTAATTATTCAATAACATTGAAATGGCGAAATAATTGTAATAAGTTAATTGTACAGATTTTACATATACAATTGGCATGACAATTATGTTCTTCCGACTTCGAGACAAACATTTTTTTTCTGAAATCAGTTATTATATCATAATTATACAATATGACATATTTTTTGAATTAATAATATATTTTTCCGTTATTTTATTAACAGGAATATATATTTCCGTTAATAAAACTATTTTACACTATTATTTTCTTGTATTTTCGATCTTATCATATTTCCTACAAATGATTAACATTACTAATTTTCTTAATTTATACAACTTATTCATTTTTTTACTATAATTTTATAAAACGTAGTTGAAATACTATTTTTCATCCATTTTCTAGTTATCTGGTATTATTTTTTTCTCTCAGTGAAGCGATGGTTGCAAATGGAATATGTGTTTAATTTTCTCTACTTCTTCTCTACACGGTACTTCGTGTCCGCCATGATCGCCCGGAAATGAATGAAAAAATGAAATTTGGATGAGAAATTATTAGTACGCATATTACAGAATGTCTGTATTTCGCGTATATATTAATATCCCTTTTACATAAGGTTATTACTTGTTGAAGATGTAACGATGTAAAATGTTGTGCAAATTTTATTCGATAAAAGACATCTACAAAATTCGGAATAACTTTGAAAAGGATAACTTCGAGGGAGTGCAAATAGACTTAATTTTATATTTATAACTAAACTATAATTAACTATAATTATAGCTAATTGTAAATATATTACATAATACACACGTATAAATGAAAAATAAAAGTAATAGCGGACGCAATTAAGTCCAGCGCGTTATAATTTACCGCCATAAAAGTAAAAGGATAATTTTATGATTAAATGTTTAAGTGTAGCTTATGTTTAATTAAATGTATACACATGTATACGCTCAATTTAATTAAATTCATCACATTCTTAATTGTGATGCTTATTTTAATGAATCTATCGCGATAATCGTACTTTATTTTAACGTATAATGGTTTTACATGCTCGCGAAAAACTCTCCGTTTTTAAAGAAAAGTATATAACGTAATCGAACGTCACAGGACCCCTGTTGTACACCCTTTCAATTGCGATCGCAGTGGCGACATCCTGTCTGTAGTCTTTACCGCAGTAACCCTCGTGTCGTGGGGTGACGACCCCGCGTGTCCGTGCACTGCGTTTCCCTCTTTCAGATTTATTATTTATTAGTTATATAGAGCCGAGAGAGAGGTGCACGCCAAACTCGGTAGAAAGACGAAGATTTTATTTCTTTTTAGTAAATATTCAATGTTAAATTATTTTACGATAAAAATAGCGTATAAAATAAATATACGAGACATTTAACTTTTACGAATTTAAATCTCTTTGTGAGAAAATTCAGCATTTTAAATGTATGTTGATTTATAAGAATTGAATACGTATAACGATGTGTGTTTAATATATAAATATATAGAAATTATACTGCAAAATTCTTAGTAGTATTTTATTGTTTTATTTGGTAAAATATTGGATATTTGGGTTAAGTATTGGGTATTTCATTATTCGAGATATTTCGCATTGAGGACAGTGATTAGAACAGTGTATAACGTCATTAATGTTAGCACTTAGTGCGCACTAATGCGTCCAATCGAATTCGCTATAAGACGATTAATAATAATTAGAATTACAGATGGATAATCCTTTTGATAGGTACATAGCAAAGATAGTATAGGTTATATCAATCTGGACAAATTTTTATTGCGTCAATGAATAAGGACATTACTTCGTGTCACGAACACGTGAAACCACTTCATATAATGTTATCGATCTTCCATATTTAGAACTGCATGATGAGCAAGGAATTAAGGATCTATATACATAACAAATGTGACATTGGATTAGGTGTAATAATGTTACATTGAATAATGTTACATTGAATAATGCTAAAACATGCAATAAGATTGCATCAGTAACAATTTTATATTAGGACAATTTTATTACGCGTTATATTAAACATAAAGCAATTACGTTACATAAAAACCGCTTAAATGTATTGAATCGTGTCTACAAAAAGAGGAATATATTTATTTTAAAATTATATTATTTTACATATGTTATGTTAAATTATATATATTTGCAAACTTTATTTAATCTGTTACAAAGCAGTTTATTAATAGAAGTTACTAATTAAAATAGTATTTTGTAACAAAAAATTGATCAGAATAATTTAATCTCGAATTAATGTTATATAAAAAATTATAAATATGAATTATGCACCGAGAATTTGTATATTATAGAAAATTCATTTTGGAAAATATTTATTTTGATAATTTTGGTACTAATGACATAACGAGCAAGAATATTGTTTTTTTATGAATTTCTGAACATCAATGGAATCATTTTATTATGCTTTATTTATCGATCTTTCATATTTGGAACAGCAACGTGCGTAGTTATAATTAAGAATCTCTATGTATATAATAAATAAACGATTTTTCTAATATAACAGAGATCTCTGTTACATAATACATATTACAGTCAAACAAATTATATTGAACGGCGAATTAATCTCTGTGCCTGTCAATGTTTAAACGTTTTATACAATGACGTAAACCATTGAAAAAGTTCGTGCAATTATCGGGCAATTTTTTTTATTCCGCAGGTAAAACGACGTTTCGTAGCTAAGCGATGATCTTCTTGCGGACATGATCGGATGGGACAACGTGGGAAAATCAAGAGGGAGAACTTCAGACTGCTGAAGGCTTATTCCTTTGGTTTTCGTCTAGGCACGTTCCTAAATTACGTTCATCGACCGCAGAGAAGTTTGACCTGGTTGTGATCGGTGGTAGGTCTCCCTCTTCTCTCTCTCTCTCTCTCTCTCTTTCTCTCTTTCTTTTGACGTGTTAATTTACAATATATTAAATTACGCTGTTGGATTGCTTCATCGTTTGCTATATTGTACCCTGATTATACACACAGTAATAAAAATCGGTAAATTCGTTTTTTTTTTATTTCCATTGTTTGCTCTTCTGAGACAGTTCAACATTCTAACGTTTTGATATTTTTGATAAATCAGTTTAGCAAATTAAAGATAGTTTTATAAAGTAAAATTTTTTTGATAGAAAGCATTTTGTACGTTGAATATTTTACGAATTATATCAAAGGAATTATTTGTGAGTGGTTTTCTCGTCTACAGTTTTTTGGCTGGAAACTATCAGAATTATTTATTCTCTAGATGTGTGCTTTATTAAAATCTAAATTTGTTTAAGTTTTATTAAATTCATAGTTGGCTATGTTATGATTTCAATAAGACATATCTGATTTCTTTCATTACGTACAAATGGCTATTTAAAGATATTGATAGTCACAAATTTTAACTCCATAGAATACGTGGGTTTTTTTAAAAGTGTATAAATACTAATACAGTAGAAAAATAGCTTAAACATCAAGTGTTTTAATAAATTAGAGAGTTTAAGATTTTCTTAAAAATTATTTAGGAATTAAAATAAAAAAAAACTGATTGAAAATGATAATATTGAATAAAAGAATTATTACAAGATTGTGAAGTGATTTTTTTGTTATGTTTTAGGATTAGAAATATTAAAGTTAATAATTTTATTTATATTATCTTCTTAAAAAATGAAAATGAGGAAAATGAAATAGGCGCGAACAAAATGGTAGGATTGAAAGAGTAATGCCTTTGCCTCCCTTTTACAGTTGTTTGCGGCGCCAAGTATGGCGAGGAGCAACGACAACGGTTGTGAACGCGGTTCCAAGCACATCACCGTCCGTTGTTGCGATGCCGCCGTCATGTCACGTGGTAAGGCAACGTTCCAGCAGCGTGAATCGATTGGCGTCGTTAACGGAGGCAGCGTCCAGCAACGTAACAGCGACGACAGTACCGGGAACAGCAACGGCACCGCCACCGGCATCACCGCCAGCAGCAATGCCAGCAATCATTGTCAAATAGAGGGTACGGCAGACTAGAGTCATTCTCTTGGACGCAGGCGCACTTCAAGGATTAACGTGAGTATCTTCGTATTTATATTCAGAACACACGAAGTCATAATGATATCATAAAGACGTTATTAATTTATTTGTCACTTATAAGTTACAAATAGTGTAAAAATTGACGTCATGACATCATTTGATTCAATGTTATATTTGTGATATTGTCTGTTTTTTTAAAATAAATTTTAAAAAATTTTTAATATTGGCTCTCAAAAGAAGAAAGTTTAAATGAGTAAAAGCTTTCGCTGCACGATACTTGGATCTATTTGTAAAAAAGATCTAGATGTTATAAAAACCTGGTTCGACTAGTTCTGTTGATGACTTATTGTTTATAGAGTGATAACGATACGAGCATATCTCAAAAAAATGTATTTTCTGACGAAATCTGTGATAGAAACTTTGAAAAAATGAAAATGTCAAACAAAAGCGACGAACAGGTCCGTACTGATCTTGTAGCCTGTGCGATTGCCGTAATCGTCAGTGAGATTTATGAGAGATTAATACAGAAGAGAGAGATATACATTGTTCTCTGTATTTGCGGATTTTATTTAAACGCGTACAAATTTATGAAGAGAAGGAGCTCTTTCTTTTTCTTCCTCCCCAAGGGCAGATACTTCAGAAAATCTGCTCTTTTATAACCGCGTGCTTCCCTCAGAAATTGAAATCTTTTTAAATAATTTATGAATCTAAGAAGAATAATTCTCTTCTTCTAGTGTAAAATGGTTATATATGTCACACGAGTAAACTTTTCTTTCGACCTATTTATATAGACAGGTTTATATAAACGAATGGAATTTCTTTCAATCAATAATCAAAAGTCTAGACATAGTGAACTTAGAAACTTGAGAGGAAGTAATAATTCGCTTGAGCGATAATGGCGGAGACAGGCTGGGCTCAAGATAGTAATATTAATTGTAGATTAAGTCAGATTAAGTTGCATATGAGGAAGAACTTTCCCCCTCCATTTTTTAAGACGACACTCTTTAAAAAGAAGTCGTAACCTCACGCGGGAGGATCATGCCATTTGATTGACCATTAAAAAGGAGCCGTCGAGATTTATTTAACGGTTTGAAACAGGAGTTACAAAGATATAACTGATAATTTAGACGGCACAGAAGCGATGACACAGAACGTTACCATAAACAAAGTGTTTTAGAATTGATTTCGCGTGGATAAGAATCTTTTCCCTTCTAATTAGCAAAAGATTAGGAAATGGTGAGAAACTGGCGCGGGAGTTCTTGTCACTTGTATAAAAATCAGTATTCGACGAGCACTTGTGGAGTCATAGAAAGTTCAGCATTCTTCGTGTCACAGTTCAATTACAGTACAGTCACAGTTCAGTCACAGTTTTGAGTCACAGTTCATTCTTGTCAGGAAATCAATCATCCCTTTCAACCAGAAATTTAACACAGTTCTGCGCTAATTAACAGCATTGCTATCCAGATTTTCAACTATGGTAATTGTAACTTGTCAATTGTGAGAGAGATTTGATTATTAAAAGTAAATTTTACTTGGATCTCATTGAAACTTGAATTCTGATCTTAATTAAATTAATCTTTATACTCTTCTTCAAAAATTAAATAAATTTAAATTGACTGTCGCTGTCGAAGAGTGTGTCGATAGCTTTGAAAGTCTTATTTAGCGAAGTATTGTAGAAACAAATTTTTATATTTTCAAAAGAGAAAATAATGAGTTTAAATTAAAAGGGTCAGGTTTCAATTCAATCAAGATCTCTTTCCTTTTTACCCGAAAGGTAATCAAATTGGAATATTCATTGTTTCCAAGTCTTTGACCAATTATCTAAATCTTGATCTACCAAGATCAATGATATAAATTGATCTACCAATTTATATTAATTAATCTGGAATCTAAATATTTGAATTAATATTAAAAATTATAAAGCTGTTCGTAAAGAAACACTTGCAATTTTAAAAATTAAATAATACCATAATCAGTAATTTTGGTTTTTGCACAAATCAATCTGATCCCCAGATAAATTACTTAAACGTATTGATACAAAAAACGGACATTTAAATCTAAATCTTTTGTTTCGTAACAATTATATTCTTCTAAGATGTTGTATAATTGCAGTATAATTTATTATATTATTAAATAAAATAATGAAATGAGTCAGTTGATATAAAGAAAACATAATTGCAATCTATAAAAAATTACAATTTGCAATATGTGCAATTGTATATTTATAATTTATTGCGTTATTTTGTACATAAAGGTGTAGTTAATAGAAACACTTTCATAATTTAAGAAAAAACTTTAATTTATATATAATACTTTTATTTTAGTATCAATAAAAATTATAATTATATTAACATTTTGCTGATTGGTCGGATAGATCGATCCGATTTATGATTCACTGATTGATTAAATGGATAGATTCATCTGTTTTACACCACGCTATATATTCTTCTGTGGTTTTTAATTAATTTAATGGAGTAATAAAAAGAATTATAAGAAAAAGGAAAAGAAAATCTTGAAGGGCGACAAAATTGTGCAATGCTTAGCGCTTAGTCAGATGTAATTTGTGTGTTAAAATAATATCATTAAATTGAAATATTAAACACATACACATATTCATATATTATATATACATATACATGTTATGTTTAATGTATGGGTATCTGTAAATCTCTTTCTAAGCTGGATTCTTGGATTCATGTTTATATTTGAAACGACTCTAGATACAAAAAGAAAATTAGTCGTTTGAAAAAAATAGTAATAAATCTATAATCTATAATTTCTCTCTAATAATTTTTTCTATCTACTAATGCACAAACTTGCCATTAGCAAAATTAAATTTTTACATGTTAAGTCGCGCAAATAAATATAAGTTATAAATATATTGAAAAAAATTGAAAAAAGCTATATAAAGAAGAACAAACGTTGATGTTCAAACAAGAAAATAGTACATTTTATATGTAATGTAAAATAGCTGTTTATACATTCACACGCAAACACCTTCAAATTCGTGTATCGAGGTTAAATATCACACTCTGGACACTTAAGAATAAATTCTATATAAGAGATTATTTTACATAATCTGATTGATCCTTCAAATGTGACTGCAGTTTCTCGAGAACAATTAATTAACGTAAATATCGAACGGTTAGCACAACTATATTGTTACCGCGCGAATTTACTGTAGAGCAAACGAACGAAGAGAGCGGATAGAGAGGACGTGAGAGCAGGGAAGGGGACGTGTCGCGCAGTTGTGCAAACAAATTCAGCTAATTAATCGGGAAGAGCGCGACTGTTCTGCAGTTAGACGCCTACATCCGAGTTTAGCTTCTTCTCTTCGTCATTTTCCGCGCGTTAGTCATTAGAGCGAGAAAGGGCGAGATATTCTGCGCCTTCATGGAAACATTAATTAAATGGCAAGTTCCGTCATAAGCAACAGATTATATATATATCGTGACTTTTTATTTTCAACTGTCATTTGTATTTACAGTTTATTCACACGCGCGAACATGAATAATAATAAATGTGTTTCAATTTGCTCGTTATAGATGCATTAATTTTTCAACGAGCTTCTAATGGAAATTAATGGATTTAATAGAAATTTGTGGAAAATATCTGTGAAACCAGATTATACATATTATCGTTATGTTATATTATAGTTATCTTTATTAAGATCAGTTATTATATTTAAGCTCAAAATTTTGTTGCGTAGTAATAATGGAGAACTATGTGATTGTAACATACACATATAATATTCAATAAATACTTCGCGTGCAATATTATGTCGTATTAATAAGAGAGAGTATGTCACCTACATTGTTTGATTTGATATGGTAAAATTCATGATTAGGCTTGACATTAAATTTTAATTCGAAAAATAAAAGAGTCCACTTAAAATTTTATTTATGCAAGAATGTTCAATCTTTGTCTATTTTTATCCATTTTTTTTTAGCAGATATAGTAACTTTTTCAGACATTCTGTGCTTTAAAATCAAACTCATCAAATTACATAAAATCGGATCGAAATGAATTGCTAAAATAATGCAACAAAATTTGAGCTTCTATTCCTTTTATATTCATTAAACGTTGAAATTTCGTCGCCGTTTAGTTTGTTGATATTTCTATTGCAGAGAACGAGAAGGTGAATGCATCTCGCAGGATGAATTCGTGCGCGCTCTACTTTTCCCAACTGCGGGCGATGCTCGTGAGGAATCTCCTGCTGAAGAAACGCGACACGCGGAAGACGTTTATGGTATGTCCTAATCTAATTTTGATGCATCTACTGATGCAATTAAAATTTTCCATCGTACAATTGGCGCTCGGTATCTCTTGCATAAAGGCCGCGACCGATTATTTTCGGAATTCAACTTTAAAATAGAAAGCCGAACACTCTTATAGTCACTCGATGTGATTTTCATTTATTTGATAATCATAGAAATGTGGTTAAATTAAAAATCGACACCTGTCTCGAGAAATACGTGCCAAATGGTTATACCATACATACAGCCATCACGCAGAAATGAGTTGCCAAAATCATTCTCGAAGATCTTCTTTGGAAGGCAATAGTTACTTTTTGAAATTAATTAGCTTGAAGTGATGAACTTAAAGTTCGTCGTCCAGCTGTGAGAAATACATTGATATCGAATCAACTTATATTATTTTCTACAGTTCATTCATGAAAGGAGCGGTTAAACATCGCGACTGTTTGTTGGGAAAATTGTACAGTCGTGGACACATCGGTTGCGACACTTTTTTTTACTAGGTTTCTAATATATATTTAATATACATAATATCTATTTTATAGATAACTAATATTTTCAAAAATGTGAACCACGATCTTTAGTCTATCTTATATATGTACTATCTTTAGTCTAGAGACAGTATAACACCAATCGTGGTCCGCATTTGCAAAATATTAGTGCGTTTTGAAACTTGAAAGAAAGTGTCGCAACTGATGTGTCCATAACTGTACAACGGGAAACTTTTTAGTTTAGTCTAACTAAATGAGTCTGTAGGAATTCATATGATATTAAAAATAACTGACATATATATAAAGATTTTTTAATGATACGAAGCTTCTACCTTCACGTTCGATCTTATTTTACGATTCTTTGAGTTTTGAACGTTTCAAAATCTTAGCTTAAGAAATAAGCTATTTTAAGTTTTTTCTTTTCTTTTTGATTAAGTTTGATGAACAATACACACGATGTGGAAAACTATATTATTTCAACAATCTAGTATAAGAGTTATGTAACATCGCAGTTGGAGCTCCGGAGCTCCCGTTGAATTTCCGCCCAGAATAGCTAACTTCACATTCATTAGGTAATCCGTAGAACTGCATTAAGAGTACGACGAAAGTAAAACAGCGAAAAAGAAAAGATTGACGCGGACGCTTTGCGAGAACGGCGACGGCACGACTGCGTCTTGTCGCAGACTGCGTTCGCCAACTACGTTGCCAATCGGACGTTTTTGCGTAACCGCGGTGCCAACTGGGCCAAGGGTTAGCGACGAGGAAGGGAAACCGCTTCTCACACTGTTGTGTTGAATTCTTCGTGCTCTTTTTTACATCACTGTTGCTGTGCATATGAAGACGTTACAGAACTAATCATTATAATTAAAAATTAAATGTATCATAAGAAGAGAAAATTATAATCATTTGATAAAAATATATTCGGAAATTTAAATTAAATACAGTTGGAAATTAAAATATTACATTATGTGTATACTTATATACACATATATATATATAATTAAACTTAGTAAATTAATGAAATGTTTAAAAACCATTAGTAATTCGATATTTCAAGCATAATTTTCTCAAATATTATATAACTTTAATATATAAATATGATTTTTTTACAAATCTTTCATATTTATTTCAATCTGAAATCTGCTTTAAGCATATTAAATTTTAATCTAATTTATTATATATATAAATATAGTCTGATATTAATTTTTAGGTACAACTACTTTTCATAATTTGAACTTTAATAGTTTTGGTCATATCTAGGACACTCGTTATAAATACATATTCCACATATGTGACCCACAAATTGATAAATTATTCAGAGGCGAGGATATGGACTTGTCTCAATTTTTACATAACTATTGAATTTTAAAATTTTAAATTTAATATTCATATTTTTCGAGAAATCAGGATACATTTAGTATGTATATCACATTTTTCCTCACATTTATAGATTTAATAAATTATTTAGAAATGCTCTTTTATTTTAATTCTCAAATATAAGCATCGATCTTCTCAATTTACATTTTAATATTTATAATTTACTATATCTAGATTGCTTGATATTTATTATATTGTAAATCAAAATACATAACGAGATAGAATCCTTTTATCTCATTATTTGATATGTACTCATATTCACATATTCATTACACATTTTTATCTATATTCACAATCAATCAGTGACAAAGTATATTAGGGGAAGAACATTCTATTATGTTGCGGTAAGATCTGCCGGGCATCTACAAAGACCCCCCCAAAAAAATCACAAAATTTATTTTATTATCAGCTTGATCTCGAGCGGAACTCTGCGTCTATCAGAAATATCAAATATCATCATTGTAAGCTCACTTTTTGCGAGCGTTCCTCTGCTTGCTGTCCTTGGCTTTGAAGATAGCCGGATCAAGAACATTGATGGGCCCGTTGTTCCACAATGAAGCTGACACAGTCTCGGTGGGCTCGACGGTGGACGGCAGCAGATGGGGTCCAACCAGAAAGTACGCCTGCTCGACCCAGGTTGGCAGAGGCAATCCGGCGACGCAGCACTGCCACAGCGGCAGGCCCAAATGGACCAGCATCATGCGGAAGTACGCGGTGAAATTGTCAGCCAGATGGTACCAGCCGCTGCCTCGATGGAGCCAAATGTTGGGCGAGTCCTGTTCCTGCTTAGAACGATACGCCAAGTAGATCCGGCCGTTCTCGGGTCCCGGAAAGCACTGGCCGATCTCGAAGAGTCTGCAGTCGCGCGAATCCCCGGAGAACATGATGTCCTGCGGCTCCGCGGTGACGTTTCCCGCTTGGCTGCCCGACGGATCCTGCGTCGATGATCCTGCCTGCCGATCCTTGCCGACGTATCTCTTCAGAGACGATAGACCGCCGACTTCCATACGACCTATTGAGAACTCCTCACCTGCATCAACATAGAATCTTCGAATTAGTATGAATTAAAGTCATCCGGGCCTGAAGCCGTCAGTCTTCTACGGGAACCGCAAGAAACTGGAAAAAATATAAGATATCATTATTAAAAGCTATTTTTCGATGATAACGCACGCGCGCGCGCGTGATATCTTTTCGGCGAGCTGTGTCGCCTAGATTGTCATCTCTCATTCGAATACCTGAATCGTGACTATACTAGATATTTCAATGTGCTTGTTTGTTTTGCCGAATGAAAGATTCTTTGGTAGATTTAGGATTGTTGATAGCAAACGCCGCGGCAAAAGAGTCCGTGACATGCAAGCTTTTTGAGAAATCAGCAAATAATGGTTTCAGTGATTAGGTGTTAGCGATTTCTATCTATCATAATATCACAACATGAAATTCAATATTTAAAATGTATATCTTTTGAAGTTTTCAGATAAACCCTAAATCCCGATTGCGATTGTTAATTACCAAAAAAGACCAATTTTCATATTTACATTGCTTATATAATCTTTCGATTTGGCACATTATAATAATTGTTAATAATTACAAAATTATAAATCAATTTGAATAAATAAAATTATAACTTAGAATATATTGACGGATTGAAATAATAAATATCTATTAATTTATAATATAATAATAAAAATTTATAAAATGGATATGGAATAAACAATATTATTAATAATACTACAAAAAATTTTAATAATTAAATATTAGATATTAATTTTATATTTAATAATTAAATATAAAAATATAAATAATTATAATGGATATGGATAGTAATGTGGATATTAATTACATATGATAATAAATAACATAATAAATTTATGGAACATATAAGTATATGTATATGGATATTGCAATGGAGAAAATACAATTGAAGGGAGCGATGGGAGAGCGAAAGAAAAATTACGGGAAAATACGTTAAATCGGAAATGCAAAATTAAAATAGTCATCGAGGTTACCTGCTATATCGAGATTCCATTGTAGCAGGAAACCATCGATGGAGACGTAGAAATTCCGAATGTCCTCGGGAAGCGCGCAGCAATGGCGTTGCTCCCAGCTGGTGATCGCACCGGATTCGCAGCCGTTTCGCCTCTCGATCCGCACATTTCTCACGCACGGCGAGCTCTCGAGGATCTTGACCACGCCGAGGGTCAGATTCTCGTAGAAGGAATCCTCGGTGACAATGTCCACGCAGAACGACGTCACTATCGTCTCGGAATTTTTGCTCTCCGTCTTTTGCAAATTCAAATTTATTTACAAATTGATCGGCTTTTTCCAAAATAGGAGATTTAGTTGCAACATGTATTTCTGTTGACCTCAATTTATTTTTGTAAGCTGTCGATATTTTCATATTAAAAAGAGCGACAGAAGAATCAGAGAAATCGTAAAGAGTAATCACAGGCAAGAAATATAATAATATCGTTAGCAGCGTTTTATAGATATATATATTATATACAACTATATATATTCAAAGTATTTACAGCATTGTCAGAAAACGAGAGTTATATTACATAAAAGTTATATATAATCAAAATATATTTTATGTTTGTATAAACACAATAATTATTGTTTTAATATGTTATATTATATTTTTTTCATGTACACTTTCCTTTGAATTATCATGTAATTCGAATTTATTCTTGCTTTTTTATTCTATAACATAGTTTTTTATCCTCTGTTTCTTATCTCAATATCTCTCTTACGTAATATCCGTTTCTTATAGCAGATAAAAGTTAAAAGACGTGATGTGCAAGTGAATGGTGCATTAAGTCACAGATGGAAGCAATTACCATTTGTATGTTTATACTATTCTGTTCACGATTATTTCCTACGAAGAAGAAATATAAGGACCCTATTCACTGGTATCCAAATATTATATGACGTTTTACATCGCAATCTGGGTTACGTAATCGTTGTATTGGTGCAGACGTTGAAATGATATAAATTTTTGCACTACATATTACGACTCGCTCGTGACAATGTCAGAAAGATCTCTGTGGTTTTTACCTTTCGACGTTCTAGCGATTCTAGCAATTATCGCGAAGTGTATACGTCAGTTCTTTGTTGATCGCCATGACGACGGAACTTTCGAAGCTATCAATATCCCCAAACAATGCACAGAGTGTCTCATAATTATTGTCTCTTTGTTCATCCACGATAATTATTTTCAAATTTTCTCGAAGTTCTTTTCAACTTTTTCTTAAGAAAGATTTAGCTTGTCAGCTTTTTGTATAATCTATATTTAATTATTTTTAATATCAAATGTCATGACAATTGAGTGTACACAAGATTAAGATTTATTTCATTGAAGTAAAATTTATTTGAAAAAGATAATTGTGACTAAGATCTGCTCGCACCGTTATTTTGACTTTAAGCGAGACTTAAAAATCTTTCTTTAAAATTTTAAGAGAGAGAGAGAGAGAGAGAGAGAGAGAAAGACAGTTTTAAGCATCGCCTAAAGTAAAAAAACAATGTTGATGTGCAATCAGCAACTAAAATTATTCGAGCCTAATTTAATTTTTGTATAAACGTTGTTAAGTATAATGGAGTCTATTATTTTTAATTAATTATAAAACAAAAATTATTCATATCTTAATATCATTAAGAAAGAAAAATTACAACTGAAATAATTTATAAATTAATTCTAAAATTCGCAAATGACAAAAATTCTGGAAATAATTATAGGACAATTTTATGTTACAATTATTAATAAGCTATCACAAAGCATTCTCGGATTTCTCAAATTACCGATGTAAAGCTTTTTTATTATCTCTGAAAAAAAACTTGAAGAAAAATTCTTGAAATGAAGTTGCCAATTTGAAAAAGAGGAAAAACACGCAATGTCAAAAACGATTCAGAATATTGTTTAGTATCGCGTTGCGAATAGTGAAACAGAGTAGCAGGTGCGCGTATGGAACACAGAGTAATTACGAGACACGCATGTACACGAGGGATTTCTTACCATACAGAATTTACGTATTATGTTTTTATGGACGCAATGTAAAACGAAGGGTAACCACAGCTTTTTTATGCACTGCGAATATTAATTGCAATGACCACGAGACGTAGTATTTTACTTATTCAATATAAACTATGCAATGAAATGGGCTATATTTGTGTACAAAACTTTTTAAATGAAAAATTCTTTTTAATTCCTTTTTCTTATCTTTCTCGTTTCTAATTAATTTTAAAAATATAAAAATTGGTATATATATTTTTATATATTTTTTTAATTAATTAATAAAGAGAGAACAGTATAAAGTAGAAAAAGATAGTAGAAAAATGCAAAAAAGTATATATGATAATAGATTAATAATATCGAGCTACACACACACACACACACACAAACACACAAAAAATATATATAATAAATAAACTAGTTACTATGTATAATTATTAATTTTTTATATTTATTTCTTTTATTTATTTCTTCAGAAGCTTATAGAAGTTTATTTCTTTGAAACCGTTTGGTTCCTTTTACTAAAAGACACTCAGTTATTATTATGAGCGACATTACGAATAGAGAATTGACTTCTAATGCTACGAGTATATTTATCTGATCTGAAATCAACAGCACATTTGATTACCCGCAGGAGGTCGTTCTACCCCTCTATATTCTCGGGGCTTTGATCGTGGTGAAGGTCATGATACCCAACCCAAACTTTCCCGCGATGATGACGCAGAGGCACGAAGGAGATATATTCGAATTATTCAATGGCTACAAAAACAATACGATCGCCGTGGTGCCCAATTCCACGGAAACCCTCGTAAGTACTGATCTCTGAAAATTATATGCAACTCTACGCGAATAAAATACAAATATTTTTCAAGTGTTTTTAAATATGTGTCTCGTATATATGTGAAATATGATTAAAAATATTGTATTGTATTTGATTTTTTTGTTAAAAACACTTTTCATTTAAATGATTTGTCTGGTTAAATAAAAGTTTCCTTTTTCTGAATCTAATTCTGCAAAAGTTAAGGCGTTCTAAAATTTATGATGTTTTTGAATAAAAATATAAAATCTAAATTCCAGTGTTTCCAAATGTCTCTCTCGTATATATGCGAAATATGATTAGAAATATTATATTGTTCCATTTTATTTTTTGTTAAAAACATTTTTCATTGAATTGGTTTGCCTGGTTAAATAAAAGCTTCCCTTTTCTGAATTTAGATCTGCAAAAGTTAAGGCGTTCATAAAAAATTTATCATGTTTTTCAATAAAAATATAGAACCCGAATTACGACATGATATTTTGTCTAGAAATAATCAACTTTGAATTTATCAAAGCATTTCATGATGCACATTTATTTTTGCCACATATATTTTTTACAATCTTATTATATGTAATTTTTTCTCAGCATAAAGAGATGGATTTTTTGTCTGCTTTAAGAGATGGTCTCTTTGTCGGATACTGCGAGATTTTGCGTGATATAAAATTAACGATGTATTTTCTAGAGCTTCATAAAATCTATGAATGAACTCTGGCTCTCTATGTGGGATTATCCCGGTAAGCTTCCCTTAAACTTCGTGGTGTTCGACACGAAGGCTGAACTGCAAGCAGCGTACTGGAGAGATCCTTACAGCATACCTCTAGCAATTATCTTCGAGGATTCCCAGCCGATATCACAGCGTCTTATGTAAGATAATTTTTAATTGTTTTAATCATCACACCAATTAAATTTAGAATAAGAGCGTGTGCGATTTCTGTCGAGGAAAGATACGCGTAGAGATTCATAAAAAAATTTTACATAGGAACATTTTTATACGTTACGTTTGGATTAAATATTTTTTGTACCAATATTTTTTGTATTAATTATTTTTAGAAATAAAGATATCAAAGATTTTATTACGAGCATCACGTATGATATCGCAAATTAATTTTACAAGCAGAATGTTTTTTTTGAGTTATATTTTAAAAACATAAAAACAATAATAACTTAAGTTTGTAATCATTGATGTAATAGATTTTAATTAATTATATTTGACTTTTCAATTAATTTATATATGTATGACTATTTTAATATATTATCGCCTATTTAAAGCTAAAAATCGCTATTGTTATGATTAACATTTAAGTCCATTATATGCGTATAAATGTTGGCAAACTAATTTTTGAAATCAAGTATACAACAATAAATATTATATGACTATTAATCACAATTTTTTCTCTTTTTTTATTTTGGTTTAGTTCTCGAGAGAGACTTAGTCTCAGTGTTTGCTATTCTGACCAACCTAATAATATCTGGAACCTTTTTTGTATTTCTCAGATATGAAATTAGAACAAATCCTTCGTACATCTTGCCGCCATCGCCAACCGAATTGTATTCTGCTCCGATCAGTTGTCGAATGAATAAGACCGGTCATTGGATGGGCGACATTTTATCAATAAAGACCGGGGACTCCTGTCCCGTTAATAATTACTTGCATTCCGGCTTCTTGGCCCTGCAGATGATAACAGACATTACGAAGATAAAAGTGAGTTCTCTTCCTTTTTCGAAAAAAGCTTTTTTTAAATAGTAAATATTACAAAAATATCCACCAATTTTATTTATGGGTCACGTCTTTTGCTTAGTACGAATGGAAGTCTAACTCTGGCAATTAAATTGATCCTGATGTTAACTTTTTGCAGTATGTAAATCCAGTTGGAAATCCCGACGTGACAATACCGGATATTAAACTCATATTGTTTCCCAAAGAAGCGTACACCGCTGGTAAGCAGAAACTTTAGATTCCACTTATTTCTGCGATTTGTGCCGTTTTAAGTGTGTTAACGATTATATTATTTATTTAGACTGGATGTTGGCCTTCAGAGTTGTTATTCCACTATACATGGTCTTGGCGCTCTCGCAATTCGTCACTTATCTTCTGATCTTAATAGTCGGCGAGAAGGAAAATAAGATTAAAGAGGGAATGAAGATGATGGGCTTAAGTGATTCCGTGTTTTGGTAAGATTGTAAACTGCTAAATAATTCTGTCGAATATCGACTTCAAATATATGACTCTGAGAAGAGCTAATTCAGCAAAAGTTTTTTCAATATTCGCATCCAGCGTCACGTATTTCTTTCCTTCCATTCGTAGGTTGTCTTGGTTCATCATCTACAGCATCTTCGTCTTTTTGCTCTCTGCCGTCGGGGTGGTGTTGCTCTTCACCCTGCAAATGTTTCAACACACGCATTTCCTGCCGATATTTCTTTTGATGGCTCTATACAGCTTCTCCGTGATTATGTTCGCTTTTATGATCACGCCGTTCTTCGACAAGTCGCGCGTAAGTAATTCTTGACGGGATTTTTCTTCGTATATTTCTTTTAAACTTTTCTTATGCCTAAAGGATTTAATTTTTGTCCGAAATGCAACTTTCGTGACAATTTTTACAATTGTGTGTATAATTATTATTGAATTAGCAAAGATAAATCAATAGAAATTATTTGTCTATTATTTCCTCAATCAAGAAAGTTTGTATAATACGAGCAATAAAATTATTTTTTTATCTGTTTCAGACGGCTGGAGTCTTGGGAAACTTCGCTGTGACAACACTGAGCTTGATGTACTTCATCCAAGTGTTCGTGAGTGATTCCAGCTCAGTCACATACTGGTTGGTTTCTCTGATCAGCCCAACCGCATTCGCCTTGGCGATGGATAAGGTAAATTTCAAAGCATTTTGATGACTATCCCTTTAATCTTTTACATAATTTTCCAAAAAATAACTGACAATAATTTATTGAATTTTTTTCAAAAAAATCATAAAATATGTAATTTTTTAAATAATAAATTAAATACAATTCATTTTGTATTATTAGCGAAATACTTTACTTATTGATGGTTTAACAAGGAGAGACTTGCAAGCGTTTTTTAACTAATTGTAAGATAATGTGGATTTTTCTCATGTACATCTCTGGCAAATGTAGATATGTAACTGCATGTTATATATACTTAAATACACATTTTACATCTACATTATCTGGCTGTTATATTTGGTATTTGTCTTGTCATGTATTTTAAAAAACTTGACACTGTATGTGTATATGTATGTGTGTGTTGCCTAGGCTCTGGTGTTGGATCTACAAGGAGAGGGAGTGAATTTTGACAATCTCTGGTCTGGTCCAGGGATACCTTTCGGCGGCAGTATCGTCATGATGACTCTGGACATCTTTCTGTACGGCTATCTGGCCTATTATCTCGACTCCGTGATACCAAGTATGTTTCTCTTTTTAACTTTTTTGCGATTTATCGCAATGCAGTATTGTTATAGCACAGAAATATTCGTGTTTTGTTTGAAGATACAGTTACGAAAATAATCTTACATTCAAGTTATTCTTGGGTACAATTTATTTGCGCGTCAAGATGCATTTCTGGATAAAACCTAATGTGAAAATCAATTTCTAGGTGAGCATGGAACAAAGAGGCCACCTTGGTTTTGCTTCTTACCTGGATTTTGGTGTCAAAAGAAGGTTCAAAGGGTGAGTTCTTAAGTATATGTAACAAAAATATAAATAGAACTATAAATCTCTTAAAATATATTATACACATATGTATGTTAGATTAATATATATATATATTTTTTTAAATTTTATAAAGTTACCGGATGTATTATCTCAGAGATGTCTAATTGATGATGGATTATTTAAAATATTTCTAAGTAGTAAAAAAGAGATTTGAAAAACATGTGGAAGTTATTCTAAACTAAAAGATTTTCTCGAAGGTAGCCGAGTCACTCTTTTCTCCTTCTAATAATAAAGGGCAAGTTGGTGACGAGTTATAGGAGTGTCACGGTGTCGTTCGTTTTCATAGAAATATTTGCAGGTGCCGTCGTCCAACGGCGAGTCGAACTCGTTCATCCCGGGCGAGGAGGCGAATCGCGACGTGGAGCCGGTGGTGCGCGAGATGAAGGGCCGCGAAGCGATCAGGATAGCCGACCTCTACAAGTCATTCCACAAGTGCAGGCGTCCGGAGATCAAGGCGGTGAACGGCATCAATCTGACCATCTACGAGGGTCAGATCACCGCCATCCTCGGCCACAACGGCGCCGGCAAGACCACCCTCTTCAACATCCTCACGGGCCTGACCGCACCCACATCCGGCACCGCTCTCATATTCGGTTACGATGTGCGCGATTCCAACGATATGTGGGCAATACGCGGCATGACCGGGGTCTGTCCGCAGCACGACATCCTCTTCGATCTGCTGACGCCGCGCGAGCACCTCGAGTTCTTCGCCGCGGTGCGTGGCATTCCACGCTCGATGATACGACATGAAGTACGTAAACAATAAAATCATTTATATTATATATATTTTATATTTTATATTTATGTT